GCAGTCAATGTTCCTAGGTTTTCCTGGATTATCCCCATTTAATTCAGATTTGGAAAGCACTCAAATTGGCATGCCCTCATTAAACACTGAAATGCATAAGAAAAATGTCATCATCCAGAATCCAAGGTTAGTACTGAAAAGGTTAGTAAGTTCTAGTAGCCAAGACAAAGTCCTAAATATTATTCAGGAACAATAAAGTTGTTACACAAATTTGCTCTTTATGACGGTTGTTCTTTTAAATGGAACTATTACTGTTTTAATGTCTGATTTGCCTTTCATTACGCCAAGCAACACACATTCAAATAAAGGACAATAGAAGAGGAAAAGCTGTCTCATATTGAATGTTAGAAATGACACGCAATTTGAATGGAGTCAGGGACAAACTCTGTCACAGCATTTGACTTATGAGGTGTAATATCTTTTACTGTACTGATAACTTGCCTTGTCCCCCTGCTGAATCAACTCAAGCTGACAGAAAAGTAATTAAAAGCCATTCTCTTCACTATCCAGTTCTCCTTTCCTGATACTATTGCTTATTACTTCCTTCACAGGCTGCCCTCTGCTTTTCCCTGTATTTGAATGAGTGCTCCTCTAGCTAGTGTGAGGGATGTCTGGTGACACTCACTAACACATTAGTTGAAGTCAGCAAATGTTTTCTGAATATCCAGTTACCTACTGTACATTTGAGGTACTGTACCTTTGTAATATACTCTTACCTGCATTATAAATCAGAGATTGTGACTGGATTTGCAATTGCTGCAGTAGAACTGGCCTTTTTGGGCTACTCCATGTTTATTACAGTTCTGACAGACCACCGTTTAGACCAGCAAAGAAGAAAAATAACATTTTACAGGAGTCACTATTATTTCTATAACAGAGCAATCAACTGATTATTACTCATGCATGAGAAATACAGTAGTCCAATGAGTTCATACAACCCACACATTTTTTTTATTTTATACCAAGAGGAGGTAGAGGGTGCACTAGTGGTATATCCTCTTACTGCAGCAGCTGAGAAACTCTTCTCTTTATCCACACTTATCCAAGATATTAACAGAGAGGAGAGGTACAGCAGAGAAACCACATCAACTAATTGCATATAACTTCTCATAGTGGATTTTGTGTTGAAAATGCCTATAGACAAGGAATACAACATACTGTATGGTATATAAGCTAAGGCATATTGCATCTCCACAGCATAAATATATCGTGAACAAATATAATTTTCAGTGCCTTGCTAATTCAATGCCTTCCTATGGTGTCAACTTTTGTGAAATCACATATTGAACCACAGACATTTTCTAAACTTGATATTTGACTCAAAACCCAGATAGCACAGCAAGAACTGAATCCAGGGCACCAGTGCTGTGAGGCAGCAATGCTAGCCAGTGCGTTACAATGCTACTCTGTTAGATTAATAATCTGTATATATTAAAAACTACAGACACTGCTTGTCACTCTGTCTGATTGACTCCTAAAAGCAATATCACACTCTCACAATTTACTGTTCTAACAATTGCACCAGGAAAGTAAACCATCACATCACTACTATGCTTGATAATAGGGATTGTGCTCTGTGCCAAATGTAATGCTTTACATTTAGACAATTCAATTTTATTTTGTCTGACCACAAATCTTTTTGCTGCGTTTGCAACGTCCCTTAAATGCCGTATTACAAACTTCATGCAGGAGATGATATTTCCACACAGCCATATAGGCCAGCTATAAAAAAAAACTTTATGGACATTTTCTCTGATCTCAGCCATTGAACTTTGCAACTCTTTTAAGGTCACTGGTCACATCTCGGTTACATTTCAAGCAATTACCTTGCCTGGCTGCTCATTTTGTGGGGACAGTTAGGTGCCTTCTGCTTCTTACTCAACCTCACCATGTTCAAATAGATATTAAGAGTTTTGAAATGTTTTATATCCTTCTCCTGATGTGTGCCTTTCTACAATTTAATACCTCAGTTATATGGTAAGCCCCTGGGTCTTTATGGTTGAAAGCAACTACTTAAAAGAGCGACAGATTGTTGTATTTATAGGGCAGAGCGGTGGCACTGTGGCTAAGGAGCTGCACCTGTGGCTGGAAGGTTGCCGCTTCAAATCTCACAGTCAGCAGAGGAATCCGACTCTGATGGGCCCCTGAGCAAGGCCCTTAACCCCCAACTGCTCCAGGGGCACTATACAATGGCTGACCCTGTGCTCTGACCCCAAGCTTCCCTCACTGTCTGTGTCTCATGGAGAGCAAACTGGGGAATGTGAAAAGATGAATTCCTAATGCAAGAGATTGTATATGGCTAATAAAATGATCTGATCTTATTCTAAAATCATGTAAACCAATATTATTGCATACAGAAGACACTGAATGACTCCTGGACTTACAAAGGTAATTTTGTGCAAGGAAATGTAGGCTTGGCACAGTTTGAATATTCATGCAATCATGACTTTCCTTTTTTTGTCCATATTACTTTTTGCTTGGAATGTGTGAAGTTGTATATATAGCAAATGCTGCTGTAACAAGTGCTGCTTCAAAGTGTCATAACTGCACCTGAGTCCTCTGGAAGGGTATGAATGCTTCCAAAAGGCACTGTAGGTGCTCCAAGGTATTTTAAATTACCACATGCATGTGATTTACTTTCCCTTCTTCAGCACCAGGCACATTCTTCCTGGAATAGAAACCTTTGCAACACATTCTTCTGGATGTTACTGTTAGGAAGCCCAGTAATTAATTCTGGAAGACTCCAAGACAGACCTGGAGGGTTGACAACCCTAATTATCATGCAATACTTCTGCAGAAAATCAGGTTTTGCAGTGAGTAGTTTTAGCAATTAATTTTGCTTTTAATGAGCTGCAAATTTTTCCAAATTTAGAAAAACCTAGGCCTCAACCAGAGAAGGTGCAGTGCATTTATCCGAGATAATTCATTAGGAACACGACCTGAATACAAACGTGAGGAACTGAATGTATGAGATGTGATTTTATATCACCATCTTTCACTTACAGAAACGATACAATATAACTATCTGCTAAAAGTGAAATTCACTCAGACTGTATTCACATATAAACATACGACATAGGTAGATCATCTATTATCAAAAAAACAAGTAGAAAATGTCCTGCTGAATACCTGTAGGAACCTTCGCTGTATGCCACAGAGCATAATCACGACTTCCCCAACTATTTAGTCATAGATATAAAAATGTACATCACTGAACTTTAAGTAAGAGGTTCAGTGGAGACACCAATATTTCTGCTGTTTAGCGTTTGTTCAGTGATCCTGAAGATGTCTGAAGCAAAAAACACTTAACATATGTCTGAAGACTGTATCATTTTGTTGTTTTGTTGCATAAATATAAAAACAATCTAGCCGAAATTCATTCACAGCAGTTAATTGCGCTTTTATTGCATGCCGCATATTGAGCTAGATTAATGGTCTAAGATACTACTTACAAGTACTTCCATTGTAGAATGGTCATAAATACCCTGCATTATTGGTGAATATTTTACCAGCAGCCCTGGTTTGATGTATTGTTTTTTCTTTAGAGCAGCTTCATTGATGTTGTTGATTGACAAATGATCACCTTAGGCTGAAATGGTGCTTGTTCTACAAAGTATTCACACAGCTGAGACTTAATAACGGCTCAAAGCAGAAACCCATTTGCTTACAAACCAACAAAAAAAAGAGTCCTTCCCCTGCTGTGCATATGTGGAAGTTACAGAACACATCTTGCAGTCCACACCATTGTTCATGAAAACCATCATTAAAACTTGGAAGTTTTTGCATAATCCTAAAGCAGGTAAAGCAGTGCAAAAAATATTTTTTGTATGTGTAACTAAAAATCGCAAAAATCAAGCATAAATATGTATTGTTGCACAGATTTATATCACACTAGAGCACCTGCACTCGCTGCAAATCTGTTCTGTTAATTACTGATTTAACTTACCTTAAAACAGCATGTAAGAATTTATCTGTAGAGATAAGCAAAGTAAAAACAAATATTAAGAAAATTTTTTTGTATTGAAAGTTTTAATTTTTTTAAACTTATCCAAATTACTAACAGCAAACAGCTGCATACATCATCTCACTGGTATGCTGTTTAAGTAGAACCCTATTGATTACACTGGACTTATTTCCAATCTATCAATATTTCTGTATTGAAAACCCTGAATGTTTTATTTAAAATATGCATACATAACACTTCCCCTTACACAACATTACAAAACAAGTACAATCACTTTTTTATAATAACATTTAAACGCAAATTAGAACTCTTCTTGTGTCCTGCTGCAAGGTCTAAGGTCTAGGAGACAACTTCTGCTGGGCAGCTAACCCACACCGCAAACCTGTAACAGAAAATCATGTTGCAAGTACTTTACAGGGGGAATGAAAAAAGAAATGAGCAAAAAAATGAAAGAGACTTCATTTCTGAACAATTATTTTGGCCTCACACTGTAAATTTGACTCGTCTAAATGTTCAAATTACTAAGCTTATGTGATTAAAATATTGCATTACTTCTGAAATACCCAATATGCTGCCTGAATTTGAATTTTTCAAAGAGACTACAGGGAAACTTTTTTTTGCAGTTTCCAGAACTGAGATACACAAGTTATTTCCTGAGACATTCTTTGTATGTTACTCTTATATGGATATAAAATATATAACTATTCCAAAAGGTATTTCATTGTGTTCTGCATTTTGATAATTTACCAACATTAAGTGGCTATGTCCATCTGGGTATTTTCAACATTTTATACATTAAAAAGGGATACAAACTATGAGAAAAGCACCAAAGCATAGCTTTAAATGGAAATGTGAACACTTTTTTTAAAGTTTTGTAAACAGATGTCCTTTCAGTGAACAGCAATGGGGAATAAATACTGAGAGTAAGAGGCCCAATGGCAGGTTATATTTTAATATGATAATACAGAAAAAAATAAATGAAAAAAACAATATGTGAAAAGTAACAAAAGTTCCATAAAAACAGACAAAAAAGCAGTCTTTTTCAACATTTAATATCAGTCCATAGCAAATAGTCATTACATACCAAAAAGCTCTAAATGTAACTAGATCCACCACAACTTCATAGAAATCTTGACAGTTTAGTAATCTGCGATGAGTGAGTATAGATGGTACTATCACTCTCTGCAGCTCGGTTCATGTATTAAGACCACACTTGTGCATTTATGAAACTGAACAGAAAGGCTCAAATTATAATCAGGAACATGTTATTTTGGCAAAAGGTGGGAATGATAATTAATAACAGAGTTTGTACTAATAAAGAGATTGTACTTTTAAAGGATTAGCTAGTTTTCATCAAGCTAAAAAGCAATTGTTCCGATCTGAGTAACACACAAGAATGCGCATATCATTTGTATGCAACACAAATTTGTCAAAACAATCTTTTCACTTTCAGACAGAGCAGCTCTAAAGAAATGGCCTGTTCAGGCCACCATTAATGCAGCTGTATGCTCAGTTAAACTGTTTAAGAATAAAATATTCAATAAACCACACAAGCAAAATGCAAGTCAAAGATACAAACTGGTCCTGCCCTAAAAAATGTGGCTTATAATCAACCTATATCCATTTAAGAAAACATAGTCTATATATATATTATATATAATGGGAAAGAGCTTATTAAAGCTTAATTATATCCATATCTCTGATTCATAGCAACCTACTTTTCTTGAAAAAAAAACAAACTACTATATTATATGTGCATACATATATAAAAACTGCTATTGTGAACCAACCAACATTAACTAGAAATGACTGATAGGAAGGTAAACAGTTTTTAATACTATTAGTTGGTTATAAAACAACTCTATAAATCTTGCTATAGTAACCACTATAATAAATTAGAATATGGGTGGGTGTATAAGGGATCAAGTACAAGGCTGCTGGTGAAAGTCCTGGCTGTATCAAGTAACAAATAGAAAAAACCAGGAGAATGGGTCTCATTTTCTTATATACACCCAGCTGGCTAATAAGGTCAGATATAGCTTAAATATTTAGGTGGCTTGCTGAGAAGGACCTGCTTAGCCCACCATCTTGGATAATTAAGTAATGAGGTACATTCTTAGAGTAGGCATTACAAGTCATAGAAAAAAAGTTTGTGAAGTTTAAAATTCACAATTTAAATGATGGAATCACAGTGCTCCATATCGGTTACTATTACCTACACTAATTTTCATAATGAAAAGACACAAGTAACTGCTGGTCTTGTTTGTTCAACAATTGCGAACTCAGCTATTTAAATTACTTCATTAAACATCTGCTAATCATACTGAATTTACTACTGAGCCAGCATATTGGGGAAAAATTAGTATGCAAGTTTTCTTTTGAAATGCATACTAATAAGAACCATTTTCCCCCAGATTTTTACACCTCAGTGTCTACAATATCAGCATTAACCAGATGAGTGATGTGGTTCTCACTGAAGGCTCACAGTCTAGCCAAGTAGTAGGGATTGTTGTGCTGCAAGTTAACATAATCTGGTTTAACTAATAACATGAATGAATTAAGAAAAAATTTAATTAAATTAGTTAACAAGTGTAGTACTTACAAAGCATGAATTGAGCTACTTCACATTCTGTGCCAAAGGTCTTAATCCTGAGACAGGAATAAACATGAAATCCATTAATGACAATATTAACTCTAAAGCTATTAATCACCCAAATAAAACAGAATGAATAATGACGCCCTGATTAGACAACTAACTGCATGTGCATCTGGCTAGTTAAAAAATGTATTTAAATAGCAACTGGTACGTTGGTCACAATGCACTTTAAATCACATACAGATGAAAAGATTTCATAACGTGAATGATTTTGGAAATCTTAGACATGCCACTCAAACAGTACTGACAGCTGTCAAAAAAGGCAGTCTCTTAATCCCATAAACAATGGAAAAAATTGTGAATACATGTATGTAGCAGCAAATCATTTTGGACACAAAAGGGGCAAAGACCAAAAAATACACCATGGTCAACCACATGTGCAGCTCTTCAACATTTAAGAATATTACCCCTTGACAACATCACTATCATCGTATATTAGAATTTGAAAACGATACATTCTGTCTCATTGAAGCAAAAGGTATACATTACTAAACAGATCTAATGAGGCAAGAAGGGAATTTCAAATTGTTTTAAAATTCTATCTGAAAGAAAAGGTTGAATATGTATTGAAACAGAATCTGCTACTGCACTGATTTGATTTTGACACACTTGATTTTAAACAGAATAGAAAGAATAAATCAAGTAACAAGTAACAACAATAATGCCTCATATTCCCAATTGTGTAATTCCTTTTTAATTGGGTACAATAAAATTAAAGACTAAGATTCTCAATGTACTGCAAACTGCAAAACTAGATTCTGGGTGCTGGCTTTTAGGGATTCTTTACAGTATGAAAATGAGTACGATGAACCACTGTTGTAACTAATGTTGTTATACTCTTAACTCTTATGAGAGCTGGCTATAAGACAAGGAGAATCGCAAACTGTTTTACAAAAGTTTTCATGGTGGCAAAATTCTAAGAATCAAAAGATGTGACAATTCAGTAAAGTTCTGTCGTGATGCACATAATTCTGTCATGTGGAAGCTCCTATCTTGTGTGATTTTTGTATGTTGTATTTTGTTTTTTCTATTCCATTTGTTAAATTAACTGTTTAAAAAGTCATTTATACACAAAAAACACAATGTGATATAACTGATTGTAATTACAAAACATTACCACAGTTCTGAAATGCCAAGTGGTCTAATTATTGCTCCTTTGGGGCTCAAACTATAATTGACTATAAACTGCTCCTCTTGAAACCTTTAACAACCATGGTGTATGTTGATATGCATATTTTCGATAAGGTAATAAAAATGTTAAAACGAGGGAATTAAATAAAATGTCAAAGGCCTTAAATACACTTTCTCTTCTTCCATCAAGTCTCTAAGTCTACAAATGTGGAAAAGATTGAACAGCCTCATTTACTATCTATACGGTGCAAACAAGGTTTAACCTGACAACAAATGGTTCACATTGGTATACGATTGCAAGCATTTGGAAATTTCCTTAAGGAACTAAACTAGAAGCAAAAGTATTCAATAAAATCTAACAGTTGACTGAATGCATCTTGTCAGGATTAACAGTGGGTGATCAAAATAATGCAAAGCACAATCCTTGGCTGAAGTGAGACATTTAAAAAATTAATATAGAAAAAGTGTAAATGTTTTTGACCATAGAGGAATAAGCAAATTTTAGGATAGGCAAAAATAATTATAAGGTTCTGCCGTTATGGAATCTGAAAAATGATATTGTTCAAAAAGGTGTTTAATTAAAAATTCTTTATATTTTCACTTTAAAAAGTAGTTCTATTGAAATGTTTCCAGATGTCTGAAGAAGGATAACTGGTGTAGAATCGTATTTGAATTTTGAAGTTTTTTGGGGGGAGGAGTCAGCTCTTTCTTTGAACTCCTTAGTTGATTCTATTAATTATCAAATCTGAAGATACCGATTTATAAACAAATGAATTTTAATTATTTTACTCACTAAATTATCATGAGGTTTAGTTTCTTATAATTTTGACTGTTCACCTCCCACTCCCCTGCAGTGTTTTGGCCACAGTACACTTTTACCCCTCTCCCATGTGCACTGCAAAACAAGATGATCTCATGTTTTGTTCCATTAAAACAATCCCTTCAAAAAACTTATCTTTTGACCAGGCTTTCTTGACTGATTTTCCCATATTCCAGTGACCGCCTATGGGTAGTCTTAAGTAAAAAACAAAATTGCAAATCTAAAGGTTAACTGAGGAACGCAGCAATATCACCACTTGCATAGCTTGGTCAATGACGTGGGATACACCCTATTTTTCCATTTAAACACTATTAGAACAGATCAGAAAACTGTTATTAAAAAGCACTTGTAACGTGTAAACTGAACAATTTAACTGCCTTCTTTTCACTTTACATAACATTTTGGCAAACAACTGGACATGAAGGAAAATTACTTAAAATCCTTAACACAGACCTCAAGGCTTCAAGACCTCAAGGCTTCAATTTGTACATTTTTGAACAACTGGATATGCTGGATATGCTTCAAACTTTCTAGATATATTAACAGTCATTTTCTAACCACATTAGATTGTGTCACCCTGTTTTGTATGTACGATATAGCCAACACTTCACTAAACATGGATTTATGGACTTCAGAATTATGTTAATGAAATGTATTTGCCTTACACAACTTTGACACTGCTTAGCATGCACCCGTAAAACAAAATAAGCACAAGTTCGATTATATGTTCTAACACCAACTAACACCTTAAACAGGGATCAGAATTGCTTTGAAATGTTCATTTTAAATGTTTGCCATCTTAAAGGGTGTTTAGAGGAAGAATGGCTTTTTGAAGGGCCTCGAATAATTTCTACCTTCATGGCAGAGTATCGTAAATGTCTTAATTAACTTTGCTAAATGCTACATGTCCAAAACGTAAGTGGTGTTGTGCAGGTCTAAATCAGTGCTACACACATTAAGCAAATTAACATTCAAGCAAAATTAGTTTTAGCATACTGGTCCAGGTGGCTATGACAGCCTCTCCCTAGGGTGGTCCTAGTGGTGCATTGTAGACCTATTATCTGACGTTTAAATACAATCTGGTGAGATATATTCTATCAGGGTTCAAGTCCTTGTTTTTAGGGACCCAACACACAGGTCGCATGCTCGGGGAAATGTTATAGTTGCCTTTTCCAACTTGGAACAGGAACAACTGGAGTAACAAGATCTTAAAACAATGAGTTTCATCTCCTTGAGATGACAATGAATGCTATAAAACAAAAGGAAATGCCTTGATCGCCAAGTGTGAAAAAAACACTAATGTGACTATAAAAGAAAGGGCGCTAAATTTAACGTTCAATTAATTTACTCCACAACTAAACATTGTGAAGATACAATACATTGCTCATTAATGATATCCTTAGTATGTATAAATATTTAAGCTATATTGTGGTAATAATGATCTATAAACATCAGGAGTTTTATCAGTATGGAATAAACAGAATATTCTGAATGTCCTATATAATAAAAATTAAAAATGAGTACTTAAAAAATATTTATCTGTAGGTCTGAATATTTATACAAACCAATTAGTACCCAAAAACTAATCCCTTTTCATTCTTTAAATTTTTAACATTTTCTATTACAATAAATCAAAATATAGCCAAAATACAAAATAACTAGTATGTTTAAACTTTTATCTTTGAGATCAGCCACTTGAGTTCTGTTCTACAGCTTTGACATTAATTGAGCATAGCACTAAAACCACTGTTTTCATAGAGCTTGAGCTTCCGTTAAAAGATGTTTGGCGTTAAAAGGCTATTCTAAGAAGCACCAGCCAATAAATCGAAGTCACTATAAAAAGGTGAAGAGTAGTGTATTTGAATTTTAATTTAGAAAAAAATCGGGGAAGCAGACTATCTGTAACCATTAATAAAATCTACTATTATGAGCTGGATGTGTCGCCATATACAAACAAGTATAAAGGAAAATAAAAACTGCCATTGTCCAAACACTGGGATGAAACTGTAGACTAAAAAAAATCCAAGCTGAATTTTTTCAAGAAAAAAAATCTCAAATGTGTTGCCTTCTCAAAAGATGTGTTTTATTTAAATGCCCAATTATTATATCATTAACTGATAGCTGTACATTTGTATCATTCTATCTGAAAATAATACAACATACCTTGCAAGTTCCAGCCTGACACAGAAAAACATTTACTTTTTGCTTTATCCTCCAGATGTTTAGAACTATATACTTGAAAAAAAACAAGTGTTGACATTTTTAAAAATCATTAATCCTTTAAGTAGAATGTGCTCACTATCAGAGACTTAAGCAGCAAAATAGCCTCGTCCAAACTTTCATGTGTGAAATCAACTGTGAATTTTGCCTCTAAACAACTTAAGTCTGTATATACATATAGCACCAATTTTACAGAGTCAATTGGGGAAGGTTCAAGATCTGTTCCTGTGTGAAGAGATACAGGATGCACATTTTTTATAAGCCTTCGGAGAATAGTGATAAATATCACATGGACATAAGTCCATGAACATTAAAGGTGATCCTTCAGGATTACTCCATGTAATCTAACTCCATAATCTAACACAAGCCATTCCTGTACATACTCTAAGGAAGTTATTTTTTTCTCCAATAGTGTGATTCTGTGTGAAACCATGAACCGTGCTGTAGAGATTCAAAACCAAATGGGGGCTAGGAGTCTCGGGGTCTCAGTTTTAAAAATGAATAAACAAAAAGGATAAAAGAGTTCTCCTATTAAGTGTAAATTCTTCAGACTAAAGCACTCCATTTTCACTAATCAAGCCCTCTAAACTGTTAAATAAAAAATCCAAACAAGCATTTTAACTCCATTACGTAGAAGAACAACAAGAAAGAGTTGCTAGACCAAAACTGTCAGGGAAAAAGTTGCTGAGTCCAATGGATAGTCTCAATGTATCACAGCTCTTCACAAACCAATGGAGATATTTCAACATGGCGTCCAACTGTGTTCTAACGGCGTGCTTCTTCTTTGTTACTATGAAGCAAGATGGTAGGATGCTTGGCTCCTTATTTGAGTGCCATTGATGGTTGTCTTTTTTCTTGTTTAAATGAAGATCATTTCTGTCCAATAATCAATCAAGATTGTGTTACACCAACTCCAGAGCCATTTAGAATGCAACTAATTATTTTTTTCTTTTAGAGAAGTCGTCCACTCCAAAGTCACCATCAACTATCCATGCTACTGCAATCCTCTGTGAGGGAAAAGACAATAACAAAATTAAGAATATGAAAGCAATACCTTTTATGTTATGTCTATTTTCAAACTATAAGTCGGGTATTAAAGACGATGTAACAGAAGGATACTTTCAAGCAACGTTTACAGGCAACAGCTGCAAGACTTTCTCAAAGGTGTTAGGGATGGGGCAATATCAACTGCTACAACTTGACAATGAGTTGTATCTAACCTCTAGATAATTGAAAAAAATGTGGGGAATAAACAGATGACAGTGACTGAATGGCTTATAATTCTGTACATTTACTGTAGTTGTATTACTTTATGATAGTTTAGATACATTTTAACATATCAAATAAACAAGAAGCCTATTGTAAAATATAATCTGGGGTGGATAACTATCTAGGGTTGAATTAGCAAGAGAAAAATATGTTGGGCATATTTTGTTGTATTGTAACCTCATATATGCTATGCATTTAAAAAATACATATACTGTACCTGTACATGTCATATGAAAGGTATTCGCTAAGATTAAGTTACTTTACTCAATCAGTGAAATGATATAACTTGGTTAAACACTAAATGCATTCAGACGTCATAGAAAATGCCTTTACATGATTCAGTAAGTTTTGTAAAAGGATGTTTCTATATATAGAAAAGCCTTGCTTAGTGTTATTTCTATTAGCAATAATTTGCCCCAGTGAATATTTTGCTCACTATTATTTTCATTAACCACATACACTAGTACAAAATCATGCACATACAGGCCAGGAGAAAGCACCTAGAGCACATTCAGTTCAAGCTGTATATGTGCTTAAGGCAAAATGCAAAGAAAAACAGCTCACAAGCTCTTAGCCAGTGACAGTCTGGCATAATATATACATGTTTACTGTACGGCTAGTATTGTATGACTAATCGCACATCATAAAATTTCCAGGCTTCCCAGAGCGAGCCACAGCCTGGCCCATCCTGGCAGAAGTATCTCCTCCCATCAGGTTCCCATTGCTGCCAGATTGGAGGAGTGAGAGCAGATGGTGCTTAATCTACACAGGCTCCGACAATGTATTGGTGCGTTACCAAATTTTATGTATGGAGCTTCAGAATTTTCTGATGTGTGATTAGCTGTATAATACGCTCCATACAGTAAACATGTATCTCAAACTAGACTCTCACTGGCTGAGTTACTATAAAAACTGTATGACATTTAAAAATAAATATATTTTATTTTTAATTATATTCTGTGGTAAAAGTATGCAAAAGTCAGTCATTACTGATAAAGATATTTTGCATAAGATATTTGATTTTACTCCATTATTAACTTAAAATGAATGCTGTCACGCAAACTGTAAAAAATTAAAAATATTATTTTGTTTCAAAGACACCCACACAAATAATTCTCCAGCCAGGTGAATTACTATCTTTTATCTCTGAAACTATCCTACCAACCACCTCTGACAAACCTTTTTCATCAGCTTTGGAGACTGGTATACATACCAGTCTGGTATACAAAAATCAAAGATTACAGTGGGCTTCTAAAGGTCACTCTCCCTTGTGATGCAAAACATAATTAGGATTTAGACACAGGCTTTGGACAGTATGGCATATTAGAAAATTGCCCTCTGAAAAATGGGAATAGTATGATACACAACACCAAAAACATTCGATTTCATCTGGAGAAAAAAAGCTGATAACTGATTCTGCCACATACCAGATAGAATGTATACTTAGTTATGTCTTTTTTATTTACACATTTCTTCAATGAAGTATAGTTTCGATTACAACTAATCTACATTTGCCAGATTTAAATTTATTATTTCATTGTCTGTGATTAATTTACTGAATCTAATGTAGCCTGTGTATTAGTACATAGATGTTTAAATAGATGTTATTGATGAAAAGTATTATAAATTTAAATGTTTTTAATTAGTAATTTGTAGTTACATAAGACACTTTGGATTTTTCTTTCAAGGTAGCTATATTCACAAAAGTCTTATTATTTTAACTATCCAATTCTATAATAAACTAAGCAAGTGCTCTGAGCTGCCATCTTCCACAGAATTGAAATAATTCTTGTAATCCTCTTGAATTTTCTTTGCATTAAATGCATCTTGCTATGTGTTGCTTGGATAAGAAAATAATTCATTGCACAATGTTCCTTCCAAGTATTTGAATATGACTGACATTTTAGACTGTCCTTCCTGCTGGAGTGCAAGCACACTCGTTTGCACAGATGCTTCTTACAAAAAAGCAACCAGTTAGTTCTACTTTTCCCCTGACAAATAATATTAGTCTCCAGAACTTCTGGTTTGCCAGTATTATGAAAGGCTTCTCTCTGCAGCACTTTGCCTTCAAGATATGATAAAAGATTCTTGTTTGATCACCCAGGTACACTTGTATTTCATGAAAGCTAAGATTTCTTCAGCTAACGAGTAAGGGGCTTCTTTTCTGCTCCCGATGGTATTACGGAGATGATAGTTTTAATTCACTGCTTACAAGAGCTTAAATGAGAGTATATTTGGCAAAAATCCATCATCATTCATTCTTCCATGAGTTCCACCATCTAGAAGATCACAGCATCAAGAATATCAAATTAATGTCTTGTAATTAAAATAATAATAATAATAACTTACACTTACATAGCGCTTTTCTGGACACTTTACTCAAAGTGCTTTACATGTAATGGGGATTCCCCTCCACCACCAATGTGCAGCACCCACCTGGATGATGCAACGGTCATAGTGCGCCAGAACGATCACCGCACATCAGCTATCAGTGGGGAGGAGAGCAGAGTAATGAAGCCAATTCACTGATGGGGATTTTTAGGAGGCCATGATTGGTAACGGCCAATGGGAATTTTGACCAAGAGACGCCCTGGGATTTTTAATAACCACAGAGAGTCAGGACCTTGGTTTTACAACTCATCCAAAGGATGGCGCCTGTTTACATATAGTGTCCCTGTCACTATACTGGGGCATTAGGACCCACATGGACCGCAGGGTGAGTGCCCCCTGCTGGCCCCACTAACACCTCTTCCATCAGCTACCATAGTTTTTCCCAGGACATTCCCATCCAGGTACTGACCAGTCTGAATATGATGGGGATTCAATAACTGCGCGTGCTATCCAGGGCCGCAGTGCACTGTGGTAAGGGCCATGTCCCTTTCCTCAAAATTAATCTCCACCCTTCTTCAGTTTGTGGAATTCTGGAGTATTAGTAATCAATGGGTACAGAACAATTATTAATATGTTTCTAAAACCTTGCTGTCTGTATTTTGGCAGACAGTGAATAATTATTCCAGAGATGAGAAAAAATCCCTTTGCCAGAAACCTAGTGTTAGAGCTAGACACTCACTCTGTGTTAATGCTGCCCGAATTACCATATTTTTTTAAACGGGCAGTAAAACAAATGTATCCATTCAAAGACAAGATGTCATCCATATCTTCTGTTGCAAGCTTCTTAAGATGTTTATTCTGAAAACCATGTTTTTGCACACTAGAAAACTATTGTACAAATTACTTATTTTACTTCATTTTCCCAAAAACAGAACAAAAATGCATATGCTAATCTTTTATTATGCTCTTTTTCAAATTTACCTTTAACAATTATTTTAAAAATAAGGTCATATTAATGGCTTTCGCCAATATCCCTTATCCTAAGTGGCATATACGCAAATTCAACACTAACTTTTAATATTGATTCATTCCTTAAGCCTCCTTAAAATGAAATGATAAAATGGAAGTTGCTTAATATTGCACAGAAGGTGCAGCAACTGCTTTGACAAAAAAACAATGCCATGAAAAATATTCAGGTGTCGCATTAGGTTAATCCAAGGCAATTTTTTCAACAAATGTTTGCACATTATTAGAATCCTGTTTTAAGGATTTCTGAATTAAGGGATTCCATAAAAATCCAGAGGGCCTCTATAAATATATATAATAAATGTAATTGAAATAAAGTTATGATTATTTTTAAAAATCTTTAGGTCCTGCAAAAAATAATGGTATCTCGTGTTAAACAGGGTGTTACTTCTTGTTTATCGCAAATGGCAACTTTCGATACCTGAATTATTTAGGAATAAATCAATGGCTTTTAAGTGATTTATCAGGTTTTTCTGTAACTACAACAGACTTGGTGAAGTTACATGTCAATTTATAACTGACAGTTATAACTCATTTATAACTGCTCTTTTCTTGCTAATATGGGGTTAATCATACACACTTATTCCAGTTTTCATTGTACAGACTAGACACTGCCATTTAAGCTGTGTGAAATTTACTTTTACCATAAACAGTTTAATAATCTATGGCACATATGTCACACTCAGGTTTCTTACTTCCATCACTAACAACTTGTTTGCTTTGATGCTACGTACAGTATATGAATGTGTGCTGGTACAAATACAAATACCAACCACTAGTAATTCTGTAGGAAGACATCTGATGATAGATTTATAAAATAATGTACTATTCCAAAAAACAAACAGCAAAGGAAATAGGTTGTAACAGTTATGATACTCGCTTCAGTGAAAAAAAGCTTGATTATGCACTTATGAGTGATAAGTAAGGAAAATGGATTGATTTTTTTTTCTAATAGGGATATTCCCTTTTCATTTGAAATTATTTTCTTTACAGTCTCAATGTAAACAAGTGATCGCTCAGATCTCACAAGTAAAATCAGTACATATGCATACATATAGTTGTAGGTAAGTTCAAAGAACAAGGTACTTAAAATGGCTCAAAATACAATGTTGCTCCACCTCTATTCAGTATAGTTCCATTTTACTTCAATAAACTCAACTCATTTCCCATTCTAACTGACTATCAGCAAAACAGCTTGATTTGGATTGCTCTGCTAACCCAGCATTGGTGGGAGACTTTCAGCTTTCATCTGTTAAACATAAAAAAAAATATCACTCAGGACCAAATTTATTCAGCACGGCAGTAGACTGTGCTTCAAATCACTTTTGTGAAAGGTGGCTTCCATGTAGAATTGGGAAAAAAACATCTTTATGACGCATTACAGCCTTCTTTTCTCTTCGCTAGTCTTTTCATTAAATGGGCAAAACACATTTTTAACAGCAGTTTTTGTGGCAAACAGCCAATAATAAGGACTCCCACAAAACAGTTGATACAATCTGTCCTGGCTGATTGCTGTCTCAAAGTTCTTGAAGTGAGGAGACCCAAAACGTTAATACACAGAGTCTGGAGACAAGAGACTCCAGTTTCACTAGTACATCGCTCAACGAGTTAATGACTTCTTCCACATATACACATCTTCAGTAATACATTTTGAATAATCCTGATCCTGCAGTCCCACCTTCAATATTTCATTTGAGCTGAAGTCCTTAATTAACTGAAGCCTTTATTAAACTAATAGGTTGCTTGAGTGGTACATTTTCAAGGTTATTTTCTACTCAAAAGTTTGGAATTTTATGTCACTGGACTAAATCTTGCACATTCCCCTCTTCCTCATAATTATTAAAAATCATCACGACACGAGAAATTGTAGCTTCATGCTGCTGCCATCTAGTCCAAATGTTTGACATCTTGACCCAGTTGATCAGCAGGGCATCTAGAGTTTGTCATTTTCACGAGACTGCTGTCCATGAAAGAACTCAGCTGATCACTTTGATTCTGCAGGGTTTGTGGATGCTCCATTAGAAGTCACTCTTACACGTTGATGGATTTTAGAAGGTACACCACCTTCCTTGAACAGGTATTTTAAAATGAGCCAAAACGAATTTCATTGATTAAATAAAACACCTTGTTTAATGAACATACTTATTGTTCTATATACAAACATAAACAAACATAAGGGGCACACCACTTAAGATTTTTTTACTGAAAGAGATAACTGATATGTACTAAAATTGGCCCTATTCCATTCAATCACTTATGTTACAATGACACAGATAAAGTACATTAAAGAACTGGAATAAGACATACCAACTGTTCCAACTATGACAAAAATGTTCAAGTTAATTGCAATTCTGACAAAGTGAATTGACGGTTACCTTATTTAATTCAGAATGAGTACAGCAGTAGTATCCTGATGCATGCAAAGTCAGTTTAAGCTTTAGTAACATTCAACTCTCCTTAGAAATAAAAAGAACTGTATTAAAACCCTCTTAAAAGAACTGATTTCTTCACAGTGCTTCAATTTATTTAGAGGGAATAGAATAGGTCATTTACCATTGATACCTTCAAAATCCTGGGTGTCTACAAATGGTGCTGGTCCCCATATCCTAACTGTGCCGTCATCAGAAGCACTTGCCATCATGCCAGGGACCTGTGGGTTCCAGCTAACACAATTGACTGTGCGTGTGTGTCCCGTCAGCTCAGCTATTGGCAGCTCGCTGCGTTTGTGCCAGATATAAACTTTATGGTCTATAAAAAGAAGGCAAAGAGTTAAAACATTCAGATACATATCTCAAAAATGTGTCAATTACTGTGCCAAATAATATTTTTATAATTCTATTAAAAGCTGGAATACCACAGCATTGACTATGGTAGTGAAACACGACATGTAATGCTAATAGGATGGAAAAAACATATTTGGAGAATTTTTCTTTTTAATCTGTGCTGGGTATCAGAGCTGTACTCAAAGGTGCTGTAAATATGACATAAGATGTTCTCTCAATCATTTGTCAAAACATTCTGTAGCAACCATCATCTCGTCAGGTTATAATAACACATATATATTGTTTTTCTGGACACTGGACTCAAAAGCATTTTATACCACCAATGTGTAGCACCCACCCTGATGATGTGACAGCAGCCAAAATGCACCAGTAAGCTCACCACACATCAGCTATCAGTGTGGAGGACAACGAAGTAATGAAGTCAATTCATAGATGGGGATTATTAGGCGACCATGACTGGTAAAGACCAGGTGGAAATGTGGCCAGGATACCCCTACTCCTCTCGAGAAACACTCTGGAGTTTTAAATGACAACTGAGTGTCAGGACCTTGGTTTTACATCTCATCTGAAGGATAGCCCCCTTTTTACATTGTAGTGTCTCCGTCACTATATTGGGGCATTAGGAACCACACAGACCGCAGGGTGAGGTTCCCTACTGGTCCCATTAACATCTCTATGTTGTCTTACACACATGTGTGTGATCTTATTGTATAAGAAATATATCCTTTTGTACTAAACTTTCTGTACTTAAGACATGGCTTTTGTAAAAGATATTTGATACAATTATAAGAACAGTTACAGTTGTTTTTCAGAAACAAAGAAAAACTTCTTTTCAGTTTATTGGACGAACACCAATTACAACAAAAACCAAAGACCTAAATTTATCATTAATTTCTTAACCTAGATTGAAAAAATGCAAAAATGCCCTCTTGGATTCACAATTGCAGCTTACCTTCACTACCACTGGCTATGAAGTCTTCATTATGGCCTCCAAAACATGAATGGATTGTATAAAATCCTTGTGTGACCCCTTGATACTTTCTCACTAAAACACGATCCTGCAAGTCCCATAAATGAACTCCCTAGAAGAAAAAAGGAAACTTTTAACATGTTAAGAAATGGCACACAAATATCAGGAGTCATGACCTTTTTCACACATTTAAACAAAGAAGCACCATCATAATATAAAGAATATATAAAGTTAATCATTAAAGCATGTACAACAAACAATGAACATAGAACAAATTATTTTAATCAGGCTTCCATTTAACAAGCCAAAACCAGTGTAATTCATAGATTTCCATGTACCATGACGGTGCTCCACAATAGCTGCTCTCCTCCCCACTTCTCAGAACTCTGCAAACACATGTAGTAGTGCCAAATTGACAGCATACTGTATGATAGGAGCAAGACATATCATCTAGTAATTATACTGAGTTTTACAGAACAAGGTCTGAGCTGAGCAAATACTAAATTTGCAAAAACATTCACATTCCATGACTAATCTGTGGTTACGTCTCCACTTAATGAAATAAACCTTTACCTGTTCATTTGCAGCCTACGCATTTTGACACAGCTACCTACTTGGACTACTTCATATTCCAGATTCCATATTTGCACCCATTATCTGTCAAATGAGTTTCTTTCAGTTTCAAAGAAGTAAAGAAGGAACAATTGTTCCCCCCAGTTACCATAGAACAATCATATCATCCATATATGTGCCTGTGAAAGTGAAAACACCGTACTAATAATTTATCTATCAGCCTTTTAGATGCTGAAAACGTAACAATATTAATACATATTTTAGTAATAAACTGAAATAATCCAAATGGCATATGGAAGATTGTCTGCTCTCCTGCTGTACCTGCCATCAGCTCTTGTAAAGATTAATGACAAAAGTCTGGTGTCATAATGAATGCCACTTCACTCACTGTCACAAGGGAGTCTGTCAATTCTAAGCATGAAATATGAAATGAACTTGCAAATGTCTGATAGTATCCAAAGCAAAACTTGATCTGGTCTTTAAGCACTACTGGATAGAATGAAAGGTCAATTACTCCTAAATGACTATAGTGGTGAGCTCTTGTTTAAATACTTCTAACATAGCTTATCTTCTTCCATGAATGGTTGCATTTCACTTAAAACAATCTCAAGCTTCAAAAGTCACATCCAACTTGGCAGCTCTCTGAACTGTCCTGGATGCTGCTGCATTACCTGCTTTAGCTGTTCTGTCTACTCCAGGATAGGATAACTGTATGCAAGAGGCAACTGGAGACTCTGTATGATAAAACACCACTGTGTTGCCTAATCTTATTACATCTCTGAAACTAAATAATGCTAGGCCTGGTTATTATTGGGATGGGAAATATTCAAGGTTGAACCTTAGTGACACTATTTGTTCTGGACGGGAAACTTTAAATTACTATAGTTTGATGACGAACACCACTGTGCTATTGGAGCTGTCATTGTTCAGACTAGACATCAAACCAGTTTTTTAACTTTCCAGTGTTCTGGTTTATACAGTCTGCTGTTTATAAAGTAGCCCTTTAATTAAATTTCTTGTTCAGGGGGCTTCTGGGTTCATAATGGCTGGGACAAATTAACCAGGAGCACACTCCACTGCTGTGGCGGGTAAAGTGGTATGTTAAACACTATAAACATACAGTAAATTATTTTTAATCACAAATCTCTCTCCACAACACATCACCTTTGCAAGCTATTTCCAAGAAGGCTCTAAAAAATTCTCATAAAGCTCTATAAAGCAGGAAAATCTCAGGTTAATAGCAGGTTTCCTTCACAGAATGCTCTTCTCTTTTGCTTTGGCTTTCCGCTATTTCCCTATTCAACTCTGAATTCAGCATGTCCAAATGGCAGGAACTTGCAGATCTCAGCTTTCTTCCAATTCCTCAGTCTTTGCCTGCCCCCTAGTGGTTACATTACAAGATTTAATCACTAACTCCAGAACTAGTTAATCCTATCCTAGATGTAATGAAACACTATTGATTCTACTCAGTCAGATGTACCATGTACACAACACAATGTATTGCTACTTTCATATCATTACCATTTATACGTTAAACGTATTAAATAATCTGATAACCTATGTTATCTGTTATTTGTAGAGCATTTATAAAACAACTCAAAGATTTTCATTACTATGCGTCTCTATGTCTTCAGGTCTGAAATAAGGCACATTCAAGAGTATATCAGCTATAATGCTGGTCAGTTTTAAAATAGTCTGGGGATAGAAAATCTTCAAATCATATTGAATTAAAAAAAATCTAAGTCAAAAGGTCAATTCACAGCAAGTGAAGTTTTTTTCACTAAAATACATTTAAAAAACTGCAGCTGTGTACAGGCACACAACAGACTGGTACCAAGTTCTATGAACTCTACCAGGCTTGCTCCTCGCAACAATGTATACTGGCAGCTAAGTATACTTTCATCAGTCTGGCTCCCTCTTCTGCATTAGATGAATACCACTGCCAAACTAAAACACGAACTTCAGACTTCAGTACATTCGCTGCCCAGTACCACGCCTGAATGTCCTCATCCCGATTTCACCAAATTCGCCAGTAACCCATGTTGAGGGCCTGCCTCATGCCAACATAAGATTGAAAAGACTTAGTAGCCAATAATGTAAGTAGACAGTAACTTGGACCTAGGACCTTGTAAGAGCTTGCATCAGGTAAGGGCAACTACATCAGTCACTCTCCTATTTGTTGTACTTTCAGAAAATGCCTTGTAAACCCAACAATCAACTCAACACTATGTGCAAGTGACAGCTCACCAGAACCTGCTCTTCTATTCTCTCCAGTATCTCCATTAAAGGGAAGTCAAGTATCATCTTTCTAGTCCAATCTCTTAATGCTGAGCCTTAGTTAAGGCAGAGAGAAGGCGTTTAGAAACCTTTCATTTTGTTGCTATAACTACCTGTTATAGGACCACATCCAATCAATTAGAAGTGCCCATCAAACTGAGACCAGACACATACTGTATCTAAAATGCACAAGAAAAACTGTTCAGTCAGTTCACTGGAGACCTAACAAGGCAAGTTGTTTTTCAAAAATACATGAAGTGATGGAAGTACAAATGGTCAGAGTAAGCAAAGGTTAAACAGACTAAAGTGAGACATTCAAAACCACACCTCATATCTATTTAAAAGATCTAGAGTCACCTACCAAATATATATACTTCCAAACCTTTAAAATTACACACTTCATATACAAGACAAAAGCATTTATCCCATAAGCAGTTCTGTTGAGAAACACTAATTTATCATTGGCAGACTGGGATATGTTGCTAAATTTAATTAAGTTCTGACAAATCAAACCAACATTTTGAACATTGTATCCCCTCTTATAACATCTTACCTGAGTTGCTACATTTAACAAAGCTAATCTTCCATTCTTTGAAACGGTGAAAGACATTATCGGATGATCCTCCTGCACTCTGAAAGAAACAGTTTCACAAGTGTTAAACATGGTATATTGCAAATGGCATATTCAAATAGCAATAGTCATTATCTGGCAACTTTTTCTGGCAACTATCTGGCAGTTTTTCAAAATATGAATCTTTGTTTACATGAGACCTCTTCATGAAGGTTCCCTACTTACAGTGGAAATATACTGATGGAAAAAAGAAATGCAACACCTCCTCCACATTCTAGCCCTCCCATCTGCGTGGAACAGGCTGAAGAGTGATTCATCTGTGAAGAGGACCTGATGCAACTACTGACGATTCCATCACAGCCTCTGTCTGGCCCAAGCCAGTCGGGTGTGATGTCTAGGAGGTGTGAGCAGAGGGCCTCTGACAGGTCGCCTGACTCTAAGGCCAGCAGCATGGAGCCTCACTGTCCTGTCACTGATGCAGGCATTGTGTCTGCTGGCAATTTCAGTAGCAGTACGGGTGGCAGATCTGACACGATCTCTCAGAAGGACCAGTCTGATGTGTTGGTCCTGCACTGATGTGGGCACTTGAGGGAGACCAGATCTTGGACACCTTTCCTGCTGGTCTGCATGAAACCTTCTCTGCAGCTGGGACACAGTGGAGTGGCTTACTCCATATTGTCTGGCAAGCTTAAGCTTGAATTAAGGCCTTCTTAAAGGTAACCTGATCACGCATTGTTGCACCCGGACCTCGTTGGGTAAAGGTCCACCTAACGAGCTTTAGTGTGATTGGCAAGTTGCAATGACTCACAGCTGTATTGCTGGTCAGAGGACAAATTGACAACTTTTTGTAAAAGTACATAAGCTATAACTATTGTTCTCATTCCAGAAAATGTTGCATTTTTCGCTCCATCAGTATATTTAGGAAATGCTAAAGTGAATGAAGAAACTTATTTATACATTGACTTGTCTTTTTTTTAATACTAAAGCAATTATTAGCCATTTGTGGAATCAACAATGAAATATCAAAGAAATTGATATAATTGTCCACTTAATGAAGGATTAATACAAATGTATAGAAAACATATCTCTGTATTTAAAATGACATATTATAGCTTTTAGTGTGGAATCTTCTTTGTGATTTATTTAACTCATTTCATTGTATGTTTCTATTGCGTATTTTTAATTATTGAGCTGTGTAGGTGAAGGGTGGGGTTAGTTTTGTGTCTAAAGTAATTGGCTTTGTTCTTTATCTTCAACTACACTGTGATTAACAGCGATACCAGGAAAGTGGCCTCTAGATGCAATAACTGCCTGCTCACACCCAACTGTACCTAGCACACTTTTGTTAGTTCATAACTGAAAAGGAAATAAAAATAGGTTTGGATTCTGCACATCAAAAGCCTAGAATATTTTCATTGTCGTATGTAATTTAATTGAATAATATATAACAGGCATACAGACTCACTACAGACAATAATTTGGCTGTACTTTGTGTTCAATAGGTTCACACGATGCGCTAAATGGTTTAAATGAGACAATTCTGGATGTTCATTTTAAAATGTTAAGAAAACCAGCATTACCTACGGGAAAAAAAAAAACATTTCTGAGCTTGTAGGATTTATGTTTGTGGTTCTCAATTCAATACTACATATGTTAATCAATTATCTACTCACGCCTATACCAGTACAGTATCTCTATAAAGATGTAAAACCAGCTGACTGAATGATCTAATTTGATTATGAAAAATAAAATACAGTAAGGCTGCACATCTGCCAATTTAACATGCGAGTTCTCTTATTTGCGATTCAGTCTGGCAGACTGTCTTAGGTGAAAGATCATAGCGGGATGAAAACGAGTTTAGGTTCTGTTAACCGCAACAGGATATAACAACTGGCATAACAGGATCGTGAGACAAATCACTTGAGAGAGCCTCTCCTTACCCAGGTACCCACTACCCAGTGCCTGATTCTCAATGTGGTCTTGTTTTTGTTACAATTAAAAAGCACTCCAGGTTCTGTGTCAGCAGTGTGGGAACCAACAGGCTGTAAATGACTTTGCAAAGCCTAGAATATTTTCTATTCTAGGCTTTGCAAAGTGACAGTTTTATTGCTCGTTTCATTAGAGTGGGGGCATACTAATAAACCTAACCAGATAACATTACCCTTTTAATGTGAACAGCAGGGAAAGATGATAACTAAAGTTGCCACTACAACCATTACCTTCAAGTTTGAGAAGGAATACGATTCATATATCAACAATATCCCAATCCTAATTCAAAGACGGCTTGTGTGGGCGAGTGGCAGGAAATAAGCCATTATTGAAAGAGAATCATCTTAAAACTTATATGAAATTTTTGCTAAAGAATGAAAATGATACAGCATATATGTTGCAGGTTTTTTTGTGTTTGTCGTAGGAAAATGGATCATCCAAAATACAGATGAGTCCTAGAGAAAAGGCTGCTGGAGTCAGCTTCACATTTCAGCAGGACAAAGACCCATAGCCTCACTGACACTCAATGACAAATTAATATCTTTGAGTGGCCCTCTCAAAATGCTGACATGATCCATTTGAAAATGTAAGGTGAAACTTGAATATTTCAGATATCCCCAACAACCTCGTCAGTACTGCAGAAATTTTGTCAAGAAGAAATGGCAAGGAATATACCATCTCACTGTGCAAAGTAGGTAGAGACCATTTCAAAACGTACATTGCTGTAATTGCTGCCAAAGGTACTTCCATTAAGTACTGACCTTTTACAGAATAGAGTAGAACATTTATGCTTTAAATCTTGATTGGAATAATTTATACACAGACTTTGGTGACACTGAACCGCCTTCTCGGAAGTTTGGTTTGATTAGTATAGTTCTGAACAAAAAAGTTCATTTGAAAAAAACTGATATATTATCACATTCATCAAAATTTGACTTGATAGGTGGTGAAGTTTTGCAAGGCTTCACAGGCATAAAGGAATTGTTTTACTTTATTTGATTCATGAGCAATTAAAATTTAAGGCTTACTCTGCTATGTTTATAAATAATTTTCAGCTACAGTTTATCTTCTTGTCATCATAAATTACCACTTTTGCAAAAGAGTTTTCTTCGGGTTGAAATAACTCAACTGTGATTTATGATCTTTTCCAGACTTTTGCACTTCTATTTGGATCTTCAAAATGTTCAAAACTACAGGACATTAGCTATTTAGTGTATAAACATACTGCAAAAGTACTTTATGCAACAAAAAATCTTAACATCAGTAGGTTATTTACATTGAAATAAAGACAAATGACTGCTTCCAAGACTGAAAAGATTAACTACTTTCAAATCATAGAAACATATCAAGTGGGCTTACATGTTCCTATCAGTAAGGTCCTCAAAATTGTAACCCCGTATCCGCTGGTGTGTGTCTGAAGCCAGGACAGTCTTCCCATCACTCAAGCACCAGAGACACTGCACTCTTACACCCTCCCAGGAGTCCAGTAGGTTACCATCTAAATCCTGCATCGTAGAGCACAGGAAACAATACTTCACTCTACAATTAACCACCTTTTCTGCTCTTTAGAACAGGTATTTTGCTCATGTCCATTCTAAGCCATAGAGCTAAACCAGGAACAAAATATTTAAGAAATAAGACTTACCCATAGAATTGGTACAGTTAAACAGCTTTTAAACAAATATTCTCCTTTGAGAAATGTATTTAAATTCAAGGCTTTTTAGCAATTTAAATTTGTATTTCTCCTGACTTTAAATACTTCAATAAGCATTGACATTCTAAGTCAATGACTAAGTACTTGAAAAACTTAACAATTATGGTAAATGTACACATTTAATATTTTAATATTAGTTTCAGCTGTGGCAATTAGTCAACAAATCCAGTTATGTTTGCTTATTACTTATTTACTCTACAAGCGGTGGCTACAGGTTCTCATAAACACAGAGCCCAGATGAAGAATTCTAAGGGGATAATTATTTTCATCATAAAACAAGTAAGCCTTACTTATTACTGAAACATTTCTAACACTTAGAAATGAAAACATTATGACCTGGTTGTCTTCCTACACAAGCTTGTTACTTCCCCTTCAGGGAGACAGAAGTCTTAAGATACTACAGCAAAAAACTAAAAGAACCCTAGTACTTACACACTGATAAAACTGCCCTCTCTGCCCTCCCGTGACAAAACGCTTTCCATCGGGGTTCCATGCCACACTTGTTAAGCTGTCCTCATGTGACTGACTCATTTTTGTCCGCAGTTCCCCGGACTAAGGAGAAAAGAAAATCACAGTTTTCTGAACTATTACATATAAGGTTCAAACAGTTTTCACACCCAAAGAAGGCTCCACAGCTGAAATGTTGTGTCCTTCCTTTTCCTTTCAGCACGGAATAAACTTTTACCTGTTCCATATCATACTATCGACCACCTAACCCTAAATATTCTTCTTGTCCACAGTTCCCTTAAATATCTACAACCACCATCTGCGCCAGGCACTATTAGGCAACAGATGGTTCTGTATAACAGACATACAATGATCATTTGACTATTTCAAGATTGCTTAAAGGCTTCCCTGCTTGTCCTGCGCTATTAGTTTTTGCATCTCTCACAGAAAGTCCTCTGCTATTTACAAATAATGACTGTCTAGCTGTTTCAGGGAACATGTACAAGCCTATAGTCCCCAACTCAGGCTTTGACTTTTTCAGATTGGTATTGGTTCTGGTCGGTATAAACCTATCATCTTGATCACAATCCCTAGAATTAACTGAACTCATAAAATGTACAATATTTTCACAGTTTAGACCACATACCTGTACATTCCAAAGCCACAGTTCAGAACAGTCATCAGGACCGCATGCTATAAGGTAATTATCATCAGGACTCCAGGCCAAGTAAGAAACACCATACGCATGCCCTTCTAAGGTCTTTAATAGCTTTAGCTGATGAGTATCCTGTAAAAAAAATCTACTTGTTAATAATGCTTGTTTCTATTAGCATTTAACCAAGGATTGATTAAAAATGCCATGCAAATAGACACATTTATAAATAGTGCACTAGTATTATAAACAAAATGTGGCAATGGAATAAGGAGACTTACAATTTATTCTGTATATTTATATTTTTCTTTATCTTTTTTTAATGTATTTTCATGTCTTTTACTCTTTTAACACTATGTACAGAATCCTTGGGTTTGGAAAGGTGCTTTTTAGATAAAAAATATTTAATGCATTGCAACACTGCTCCAAATAATGCTAACCCTAATCATGTCTGAAAATTCTTTTATGTATTTTATATTAATATATAAAATGAAAAATATATTTATAAAATATATTTTAAATATTTTATATTATTCTAATAATGAAAGAGATAAAAAAGCAAAAAATAAAAGGAAGATCTATTGGTGCGAGAGGACTTTAAGCATCACAATCATCATTACTTGATTCTTTAATGAGAAAATGAAGCATATCAGTTATTTAGCTCTGAAGGTACTCAGAATAAATCTAGGCAAAGCAGCTGCATTTTCTGTTGCCAGCGAAAATTTTTAATTTCCTTTTTAGATCCAACAGGCAGTCTGTCATTTCTATTTGTATGCATGTTTGTACAGGGGTTGAAGCCTGTCTCCTTTGTGGCTCAACTATGGAGGATTATTTTATCAAAATAGTCAATTTCCCTTATAAATTCTATTTTTGAGTACAATGTAGTTTAGGAGCATGTGGTGCTTTGAGCTCTGGAACACACTCCAAATGCAGATACTAGTTTGATAAGATTATGTGTTTTGTGAATCAGAATGTTTATGGAAAATTGAACTAATATTATTTAAATTGTATAATTTGTTTGTACGCAACTAGTGCCTATTACACTGTGTCAAACTGGTGACTGAACCTCAAAGTCATAACTACTCGTTTTGTATAGGAATACAGTTTGATTTCACTTACTGTGTCAACCTGCCATATAATAACAGTGGTATCTTTTGATCCTGTTGCTAGTTTAGTGCCATCGTTTGAAAATTTGCAGAACCACACTTCATTACAGTGTTCTGTTAAGATTTGCTGGGTGTAACAAGGGAACTGTTTCCTGGAAAAAAAAAAGAATTTTCGATCAGAAAACCTAAACAGTTGCTTAATCATTCACAATACACAATGATTTATTCCAGTGACTTATCATACATGAACATTCACGCTGGTCTCGAGCAGCTCTTTTGGTATTTAAGTGCCAGGCACTGCTAAGCAAAACTTCAAATGTATATACACAATGCCATATTGTAATAGTACTTAGCATGACTACATTTATCTTTGAAGTAACTGTCTTTAATCTGAACATCCTCTTCATCTTTTAAAAATAACATTTTTCTAAAATTTTAGCACAAACTTTTATATTTGATATAAAAGAAAGAAAATTAAACTGAAGATAAATTATTGTTGCTAAAGTAGGTATATGATAACAATTAGAAATATTAACCCAGGGGTGTAAATACTACCATGATTTTACAATTTTTGGGTGTGAAGTATCCGTTTAGAAGCTTTTATACATTCATGGACTGTAAAGATTTGCAATCAAGAAACTCTGGATCCAATTTTCATAATGCCGCAAAACAAAATACAAACATTAATTCAATCTACCCCTTGCCGTTTGCACAGATACTGAGATACGGTCTATAATGTTGGAGGAACTTGGCTTGACTTCACAAAGTACTACTTAATATGATGGTATTAACATCTAAGTACACAAGGAAAAACTACAAAATGAACCAACCACCACATATTCTTAGAATAAAACTGACTACATTCTTGGCTTTATTCGTATACTTGGGTACTATGCTACAGTGAACAAGTAGCTCAGTAGGTAAGAAAATAACCATTCTAATTAGGGTTTCAGAGAGGCAAGAATCTAATCTCGGATACCTAGGGAATAAGAGAAAATGCAGTCAATGCTGGACAGAACACCTCCCCATTACAGTGGGTTACTAGGTGTGTCGTGAAATGCCGAAGGCTGTGATTGGACATTCTTCTATAATGTTAATCTTTTTTATATAATTCTGAAATATATAATGATGTCCCCTAAAATATATTTCAACACATTTGATATTTGTATTTCAAAATGGGTTATATAACTTTTGTTGAAGGCAACGATGTGTTCTTTTTTTCTTTGTGTATAATTAATTTTAAAAAAGTAGTTTTGATGATTTACAATGGGAAATTATGACACTTAGAGACTGTCAGGCACTATTTACTCAGAAAAGGTGATCCCCCCTGCCCCCTCCTCCCCACTGGCAATTATAATAAAAACCAGATCTTTTAGTGCTTCCAGAAACCAAGGTAATATATACATTTTTTAAATTAGTTAAGTTACTAGTGTAGCCTGTGAATTTTAAATACTAAAACATGTTCCTTCACTTATAAGAAGTAGCTCACAAAAACATGAAATGAAACAGGCAAGGTTTTACACATTACATCATGCACGTCTGTCCTGGTAAACGGAAATAAACAGGACAACGATCTGCAGTCTCCAAGAGATAATTAGAACAGCATCTTTCTCTAGTTTCTGAAACCAATGAACACTGTTCTTCATGCTTCTGCTGGGGCACAATGATTGTCCACCCACCTGCTGCAGACATGATCTATTAGTAGGGAGACAGAGTCCAGGCTCCCGTCCAGTTTGGTATTGTGGTAGAGGCACCGGTCCCGCTGCAGCTCCACTGCCTGCCGCAGCAGCGTCTGTAAACGGCGAGGGGGCAGCATCACTGACGGAGGCAGGTATGCTACAAGGAGAAAAAATAAAGAATGAAAAAAGGCTAAAGTAAAAGAAACCTCCGTGTTCATAAATATCATGGCTGTCAAAACAATTACAAATGGCTCTGAAAAGTCTTAGAAACGACTGACAACTTCGTAAACCTCCAGAAAGCATCGGCCTACGGTGTTGGGATATAAGCTTGCATAATCACTGATGCTGACTCATTGCCAAACACATAAATAGTAGTGTAGCACGTGAACAAAACTATAGACTTAAAATGGAAATCAAATGTTACCAACTGCTGTTTGTCATCAGCCAGGTCTAACATTTGAAATGACAGAAAAAGGACATACAGGTTAGTGACTATGGCCCACTGGTAGATTTTATTCTTATCTGAAGAAAAAAAATAGAGCTAATATTTTTTCAATAGTGCTAATATCTAAACAGTAATGTTTTGAGATTGAGGGGAAAAAAGATTTGCAATATGATTCTCCTCAATATTGGGGAAAAAATACCAGTAACTGTATTCAGAAATTTCAAAGAGCACACAAACAGTTGTGTACAGTTTAAGTTCCAGTTGAACAAAACTAATGCATAACTAAGCTAGGCATTTTACAGATTATTCTACCTGACCTTCACCAAGTGTTGAAATAAAGCTATCGCTTTGGCCGAAAAATCAATAATTGAAAAGACACATACAGACACTAATTATTTTATTATAGCAATATTATAAATAATTCAAGATTTAGAAAGGAACAATTTTTTGCTATACTTATTGCAGATGTAAAATGTAGTCATTAGCATAATGATTTATTGCATATATCCAAAAATATTATATATCTACTCCCCAGGTCATGCTAGGATTCTGTTTGGAAGCAATACTTATTTAACCACTGCATGCATACATATAGAGAATTACTATTCCCGATATTGTAGCAATCCTACTTTATTTGACCCAGCTGCTATTCCAGTAAGGAAGAGGGGAAAACAGAGCAAGATCGCAGGCTAACCAGTGTTTATTATTCCTTAATGGTTAACAGGTGTGTGCACTAATCACAGAGAGGGAAGAGAACAAAAGACCGAATGTAGCAGCAGCTACCAGTCCCTGAGGTAGAGAAAGAAAAGTTCATATATATATAGTTGTAGTTTCAAAATGTTTTCATAACTAGTATAATTTAATGCCGGATACACCATAATATTAAAAATCTAAAGTATGATAAATAAACCAGAATGACTTTAATTAAAAATAAAATACATAGCAAGTACATACGAAGGTACTTCCCTGACATGACTGCAATCTGGGTTACTGAAAATCTTTAATGAAAAAAAACGAAATAATATGCAGATGTTAAAAAGTGTGAAAGCAAAGTGAGGCAGAAGTGCAAAACAAACCTGTGGTGAAGAGCATATTACTCACTCCACACAACTCATTCATAGGAGATGAGTGGCTGGAAGCACATAATCCAGGATTGGGATACATGTGCATTAATTTGAATTACAAAGCAAAATAGGCAAGGGCCTAAAGATCAATTGACTGCTAATTTCAACCTGGGGCACAAGCAGCCAGTTTAATCGAAAATGATCTACCAAGAACTCCACAAAGAGGTGAGCTCAAACCAGGTTACAATACACAGACAGCTTACCACACTTTCCAATACACATTTGGGAGTCCAGAAAGAGCACAAAAAATTGAATACTGAACATTGGAGAAAAGTGAAGTATGAATCATCCTTCACTATGTTCTAAACAGAAGAATGCAGATGTAGCACCAACCTAAAGAACTCAACAGCCCTTAGTGCTTGGTTTAATAAGTGAATGGTATTGGAAGCTCTATAGCATTGAGGGGTACATTTTCCTTGCATTGTTTGGGTGCTGTCATTCCCTGAGAAGGCAAGGTCAATGCTAATCGCTACTTAATGGTACTGAGTGATCATATTAAGGGATCCCATCCAAAGAGCCCAATGGTTTGAATCTACTGAAGTAGCCAAATGCCCTATTAAGTGATTTTACATTGAAGTTTCACTTTTTATGCCCTCTACTGATTTAAATTCAGTAAACAACTTTCTATACTATAAAACTTTCTATATCTATTAAATAAGCATATTCATATTTTGATTTCAGAGTGACAGAACCCATATTATTTTATCCTAAAGCATAAACCAATCTTATTGTTCATATATGCTTTACTGTATTTATGTGATAGTGGTAGAATTATTTTATTTTGACCATGTGGCTATAGGGAGCTCTATCCTTAGCTGAACAACTAGCCTTCAGGCATTCCAGACATTATAATCTCAGTAAGTAACCAGTAATAGTAAGATTAATCACAATTTCTATAAATGTTTAACTGTGCAAATCAAATTGACAAAAAAAAGCATAAAGAAACAAAAAATAGGTGTTGTAACTACATTAAAAAGCATTTCAAAATGAACAAATGCATCTGGTTTGGTATCTATTTTGCATATCCTGCAATTTTTAAAAGGAACACACTTATAAGATAATAAGACAGCAAATTTGTCAATGCATTATTTTTAATTTTTCATAATCCAGTGTAATTTATCTAATACAAGGGAATTTTTCTCCAGTTCTTAAATTTCCATTAACTGTAGCAGTACTGTGCTTCTTACATAAAATGAAATTTACAGAAAAGAGTGTGTACAAATTATATAAGTGCTTTCTCATGCTATATTTGTACTTAACCTAAAAACTTTTAAGCAATCTTGTTGAAAAATATGCTTTTTTTCCCCAATACAGCCAGACAACAAAGAGCAGTTTCTGCTACAGCAACTACAAAGCTCAGCGATTTTGTCTAAAATACATACAATTAACTTAAAACCAATTTTACCCTGGGCATTAAAATACGGATGTTTTTAACCATACTGGTTTGCAAATTGGTCAAATTATCAATAGGTCAGATCCAGAAACCATTTCATAAGTAAATTTTACAGAATTTGATGGTAATAGGGTCCTATTCTGTTTGAAGCAGTGATTAGCCCACATGAGTATATTCTGTAATATAATGAAGACTACTCTGAAACAAAATGAAATAATCATTAATGGATCACAATGACTATAGAAAAAATAAATGAAGATGTATTAAGTAGAAGAAGTTATTTAAGGACATTCTAAGGGCCATAAGTAGCTACCGCTTAATGTTTACAAATATGCTTAAAAAGATAAATCAAATCTGAATTACGTAATTATTTTGTTTTTTTATGTAAAGTCATAAGTAAAGTGTATGTGATTAGCATTCAAGGAATAACATTCAGGAAGCTTTTATCATAAAAGAAGAGAATCCCGTTTAGGATTTATGTAGTTTTTAGTTTTTTCTTCCATTATTATATAAATCATAAACACTAACCAATTAAGCAACAGATCATTTAGGAAATAGCCTAACAAACCTCTATAATGTGCATATGATATGAACTTAGCTATTTTACATTCTTTACTGAACAATGGCGCCACATACTCGTTTGTACTTTATTAAAACTTACCTTTTTTTTTCCTCTTATTCACCCAAACATTTTTGGGTAAAGAGCTTTTTCTTACTTTTGTATTTGTGATCTGTGTTTATATTCATATGCTAATACACACAGCACACAATCACTTAGCAAAGACTAGGTTACAATTTTTAGAATTAAAGCTTATTTTCAAGGAAATTCGCTCTCCATTTCTGGGGCAATTTATATTCTGGACTTCTAGTTTACAGTTGAAAATGCATTCCTGTAATTCCTGACCATGTCAAGCTTGAGACCACTGACTCAAATTTATTTGGGACCTGGATTTTTCATAAATCTCTTTCTTTTCAGATAAGCTGGAAGCCAGCTATATGTAATTTGTGAACTCATGGTTTTAGTTAGGTTATGGCGTACACACACGCAAAGTTAAATGTTTAATTTTTTTATTATAAATATCAGTATAACCATAGTGTGGTAAACAGTTTCCCCAATAACTACGTAGACGGCCTACTTCTGAAACACAACCCAGCAACATAATTTAACATGACAGTAGTATAACAATTAAGTTACTGAATAAAGTCCTCAATATTCTAAAAATAACTGCAGTAATAAAAAAAGGTTACGTTGAAATATTTTAGCTGTAATTATATTCCTAATTACATGAAAATGGAAAGTTATACAAGGATATTTCTAAGAAAAGAGCAGAACATGCGAAGCCACAAATTAAAAAAAGAAATGCCCGGTTCTTCCCTCTTATGCAAGACAGTAAAGCAAAAGCAAAGATTCTGCAAACAAACAATAGGAATGTACGAACTTGAATCTGCGCCTTCAACAGATAGGGAAACAGGAGGTGACATCAAACATTGTAAAGTGCAATATTATCGACACAGCACATTTCCCAAAACAGTTATTGTATTTTTTTTCCCAGAAATTAAAAAAAAATATGCTTATCAGTGTTCTAACATTTATATGAACAACAGCAGTAACTGAATTAAGAGGGTTTTATAGCTATATTTGGATACAATATTTACAGTACAGGAGGCAGGTAAAAATAAAACTAGGATTGGCAAACAGTTCAACTCCATATTAACATTAGATATTTAATGTTCTGCAATCATGCAAAACATGTACTTAAAACATACAAAACTAATATGTAGTTTTCAAAAACAGTAATATAAATCAGCCATATTGATGTTTTACTGCAATAATAATCCTGCTCATTACAAGAGGAACCGCTGCTTCAGACATTTGATGTATATTCTTGGCTGAGGAGCCAATGGCGTGAAGTTATCACCTGTGAGATTATTACTGAATGCCTCTAAGTTAGAATACTACCAAAAAGGTCATATTTTCTAATACCCAAATTGGTGAATAAGATATTACACCATTAAAGTGTATAAACATGTACCCTCCAGTTATATTAATACCCCTCCAAAAGAAGTTAAAAAAAAAACATGTCAAATTAGCATAAATTCTAAAAATCACCAGTCATTTATTCACACCTCTAACCACTCCTTCTAATAAAAAACAACAAAATAGAAGTGAAACAAAATTCTCTGGAACCATATCGGAAACCACAGAGTTTCCCTGAGGAATAAAAAGAGGTAACAAGTGTTTTCCAGTTGCAGCATTATGATTAAGGTCAGAGCTCTTAAGGCTATGAACAAAAGGTCTGGTCCCTGATCTCCAGAAGTTGGGGAATGGCTGCAAAATAAACTATAAAATGTACAACTTTTCAAGTAGAGCCAATTATTAAGAAACATAAAGCTACTGGCATAGTGCAAACTCTGCCATCAAGAGGTCACAAGTGTACCTTGCTACCATGGACTTTAAAAACAAGTGGTTTAAGCAACAACCATAAATCCAAAAGCAACAGCTTGAGATATTTAGCATAAACTTGCATCTTAGGATATACAAAGTAGCAATAGCTGGCTTTTAATGTTGCTTGTGGTTTTAATCTTTTATTGTGGTTTTGTCTGAGTTGAAGAAAGAAGCCTCTTCTGAGGACAATCTAAAAACAATTCACAATCATTATATTTCACATAATTTAAGAAAAGTGATACTCATATCTCATATTGAGAGGACACTCCTAGTCTTCAAATATGGGGGGGCTATTTTGTATTAGGTTTATTTTCATTGACAGTTCCTGAAGCCCTTAAGATGGGGAATCAAAGTCCAGGTCAAAAAATGATATTCTGGCCTGGACCCCAGTTAGCCTGGCTTGATGAAATCTGTTTTGAAAGGCATATTTATGTGACTCAGGAGGCTGCATTTAGAAGAGTTTTTAACATTGACATTGTGGCATTATGGAGAGCTTTTGGAGCATAGTTATCAAACCACCTAAAACATATTTGGGTTTTAATTTAGCCTTGGTTTATATTTTATTTTGGTTCACATTGGATTCCTCTTTGAAATGCTCCCCTTTTTGTAGGATTTTCAAACCATTTTTCTTAACAGTCTCTTCACTGCAATACGGAAGTTACAGATTAAGCAAATATTAACTTAGATTACTCTAGAACTGGAAGATTAAATCTGAATCTGAGTAACTTAAATTTTAATAAGTTTTTTCAAGATCACAGCAGAAAAAGTACACATTAGTCAAAGTAAATTATGCATTATGGATATTACATTTATAAGCTTTCAAGACTAAAGGTAATTATTCACTTCCCAAAACACAATTTGGATAAATCCATAAGACCCTTTTAGAATTATACTAATGAACTAGTTGGAAGCAACCAAAGGAGCAAGATGGGTCCTTATCTTGTATGTTAATCTTAGAAAATGTGAATTTTAATACCTTAAAAAAAACTATGCCCAAGAAGTCTTGGGCTTTCATATAACACAATGTTATGAACATAACTCCTTGTAGGGATTTGTCAAAATTCAGAAAGAAACATTTTGAAAATATTTTACCATACTGAGATACTTCACTTGTTATTAAAAGCAAAAATGTAAACCAACTTTGTAGTTTGTCAAGAAGCTTAGACCGTGAAGCTGTCCCTTTTCCTTCCCATTCAGCTTTTGCACGAAGATCTTCAGCATGGCTACACATAAGATACCTGCAGGAAAGAGACATTAATTCTATTTGTAGTAAAGAAAAAACTGAAAAAATACATAAAAACAATGAAGACAACCAAGTGGAAAACAAGACTTTTGGCTTTCCATTTATGCATTAAGCAAAAGTCTGAATCAACAACTATATTAAGAAATTGATTAAGACAAGATTGTTATAAAACCTCAAACAAATGCTAGACTAGCAAGATATGTATAATGTGCAAACATGTGTCATTTACCAGTTTATGTAGTATAAAGCAGTGCCAAGTATGTGTATCAACATTTATACCATTAATATTGAATCATTTTGCAAATATTTTATAAAAAAAATTGTTCTCAAATGAGTTTTTAAGCAGCTGTTCTAAATGACTAGATATCAGCAGATATGAGGCAATTTGACCAGTTTACATTTTTTGAGAACTCACTTTGCATATTTGGAAAAAAAGGAACTTCTTTCTTGCACTTCTTTTCTGGGAAATGCTTTACTTAACTGGATAAAGCTGGAAAAAAAACTATTTCTGATTTTCTGAAATTTGTAATAGCAACCATTTGTATCCCTGTGAAAGGATAATGCTATCATTTGTGACACAAAAATTACTCCAACATTGTTTTCTGCATGGAATTACTGCAGTAGTTGCACAAGTAGCAAGTAAAAAGATTACACTGTTAAAAGGAGCTTCTAGATGCAAAAATACATGGTACCTCCACTCCACAATTTTATGAAAAGCATTGTTGTTACATGCAAATTGATGAACAATAACATTACATTTTTTTAAATCATGCCAAAGTGCCAGTATTTCAATTTTAATAATAGGCATTTTTCCAATAAAATAGAAAAGGCCACACTACCTTCACTTGAAGCCTGAAAACAAACTGGTATACACCGTATGTTGCCAGAGCACATTAATTAACGAAGTAAGGATTGGTTGATTTTTTTAAATTCTTACATACCCGCTAAGGACATGAATACGATCTGTGTTGTACTTTAGTGGTGTCAGTTCACCTCGCAGGACCTGAAGTGCTTCAAGTACCTTCCCATCTTCTAAATACTCCAGGTACTTTTGCTGCAGCAACAAGAACTTCATTCTCTATGAAAGACAAATAAATACAAAAATAAGCATCCTCTTAACATATGAAAATGAAAGCTCTAAATCTGTTCAAGTGGATTCATAAGTGTTTAGACAATGCCCTGTTACACAATGACACAAAATGCATATTATGGAATGGTGTTCTTCAATCCCACTTCTTGAGGGACAACCCCAGCCCCAACTCTAAATAACCTTAATAAATCCACAGTGAACAGTTTTGTTACCCCAGTAAAGTATTTAACCATTTTCTATGAAAAACGATGGACTCAGCCTATGCAATACTACAAACAACCTCCTATTAAAACTCCACTCACATTTTTTATTTATGATCACTCAAAGTTTGTTACAAAGAGCTAAATAACATTTCAAAAGGTGGGACACAGCATTATCAATTAGTCATTTTCATTTGTGGTTAACACTGGAAGTACTCCAGTTGTTGGTATTTAACTTCATCCATTCTGATCTTTAGCAATTTGCCTGTAAACTTCATTGCACAGTATATTACTCTAAAATAAAATCAATACTAGTTCCAGTTATAGAATTTATTATAGTAAATGCATTCCTCTTTGGTTGTGTACATAGTCATCTGCTCTCACAATTCAGAGATACCCAACACCATGCACCAGTCTATCATCTAAGACAAGCCAAAAAAACATTGCAGTGTGTGGCACTACTAGTGGCATGAAACAGAAATTAAGTTAGTAAAACAGCTGTGGGAAAGATAACTTAGAGGCTAGAAGGTTGCAATGTTCCACACTTGTAATACATACATTAGCTATTTTCAATTTTACAAGAGGATGCTGACACTTAAAACTGTTCTGTGGAGTTGAAGTCTTTATCCAACATCCATCAAAAAATGTAATATGAGTTATGAGACCAATACATTTTTCACACTTGCTCACATGTTGAATAAAAAATCCAAGATTTCTAACTAAATGTGAAATCTTGTTTAAATATTTAGATTTAATTCATTTCACATTCTAACTGTAACATGTAGAGCATTTGTGTCACATTCTGTGGTATTCTTTACTTCCAAAGTAATCACTGTATACCACTGTTTGCTTTAACAAAAATAACTGAAATTTGAATCCTGCACAGAATACTTTGCACTTGAAGGTTTAAATCAGTTTTCAGAAATGAAAATTTTAATCAGTATTTTCCTATTACTGTTCACATAGCACTGGTTCAATTGTTTCCACTGGGAAGCAATTGTGCATGTGCTCAACATTCAAATGTTGAGCCAACATGTTTTAACCACAGCACAAACATACAACCTGGTGCATTTCTGCTGCTTTGGAAAGCCAAAATTAGATTAATAATCAAGAGTAGTAGGTGAGAGCAAGGAATATTAGTTCAGAACAGTGTACAAAAATCCAACCCCAACCCCATTTGAGCTAAAGAAGGCAGTTTAGGACACAAGGGCAATGCTGAATCTACATTACTAGTTCTGTTCTGCTCACTGTATTTTTTAGACTGCAGGGAACGTACACTATTTCAATTTCCAAAGCATATCCTGTTCTACTGTCTAAAATATAATTATAAAAGCTCATGAGTTTCTCCATGTCTTTGTCAACACCATAGCACAGATAACCTGCTGATGTTTTGCTTACACTGCCAGTGTAGACTGCAGCTTTGCCTGCAACAGAGACATAAATGAAGTGACACACAGTATATCAGACATGTCCAAAATGGCTGTGGTGCATACAATCCTTAAATTGTTAGTCACTGATGCATCACTCCTTAGTTAATTGATATTTTGCCACAAATAGTTCCCTCCTTTGCTTTACAAGATACCTACGGACATCGAAGAGTAACTTCCAATGTGACAAGACATTAGAAGACAAGATGGGTTTTAATTGCCCTAAAGTGTAAAGTCTAAAAGTCTTAAGTGTAAAATGTAGTTATTCTGCCCTATATGGGTTTATGATCAAATGTTCATCTTAGTGTGTCCTTTGTCTTTCTGATGTAACGCTGAGATTCATGTATCTTGATGTCTACCTGGCATGAATCTGATCTTGCCATTCCTTTCAATACACAAACCTGGTGTTCAGTGGGAAGATTCAGTACATTACAGATGACAAGACCTCCTACTTTTCATAATAGTCATCACGTCATCATATTAATGGTCTTAATATTGATTAAGGTGATGCCTTTTATCAAATCTGTTAAAAAGCAAATAAGCTGGGAACAGAATGTATGTGTAGACAACGGTGACCAATTTTATCTTAGTCAGTGGAAAGTACTTTAATTACAATATTAAAGATATCTAACAAACTTCACATTCTCCTCATTCATTCATTGCAATCTGATACATAGTATTAACTAGTGTTAAGGTTTAAAATTTGCTCTATGCATTTATTAAGTGCCAATATTAAAGAATATTGATTCTTTGTTTGATTACAAGAAGCCAAACACTAAACTATTAACAGGAAATAAACCAGCAATAACACACCTCCATTTCAGCATCTCATGTGAGGAGCATCCACAACAGCCCTAGTTCTGCAATGAGTGTCTTTAGATAGGACTGCTAAACACTCTCCTTAACCTTTGTGTCTTGTTGACATGTGACAAGAACTTCTGAATTTGGTCATGCCTGGGCAGAAAAGCAGGAATACTTTTACTGCCTTGGCACAAGGAGGGTTGAGCTAGTTAGCTCCAAACCAGCCACACCAGTAGAGGAAATAATGCATGGCAGATATATGGAAACAAACATATTATAGATGTCTTAAGATCCTGAAATAAGGCCCTGGACCCCTGTCTTTTTTGCCCAAGCTATAAATGACTACAAACATTTTTATCTGCACGTTTAAAAGCGAATAATTATGGTATGGATCTTATCTGCGAAAATTCTAAAGTTATCGCAGATGGGAAATAAATGTGCAGTAACTCCAAATTTTAGATTTGAATAGCTGCTAGCAACCCATCATTTCCAAACTCTTATTCTGTGTATATACCTTCAAAGAAATATTGCTCTTCTGGAGCATCGGAGTGACTGGTGCTCATAAAATCTGAAATAGACCAAACTTATATGCAATATGATTCAGATTTCCTGAACAGAGCTTCATATGTCGTACAAAAAAACTACATACTGCAAGATTGCCATTAATTATTTTATTTACTTAGCTGAGCACAATATACTCTTCAGGGAGACTTGCAAAGGTATGCATAATCTTTAAAAAAGAACAAATATTGAATCAATACTCTTGTACTGGGTATAGAAATCATTACTCTCAGATGAAAATTAAGTCTATACATCTATCAACTTAGTATATTTTAATGAAGTGAAGAAAGACACCATGACAGAAAATAGTCTTAAGCTACATAAAATTGAAGGCTATAAAAAAACTCAGATTTCTGAAAATATTGAAATGCATCCATAAAACCAAGTTTATCAGCTCTTTTGTTTAATAAGGAATTTTACCCCTTTTCTGTCAAAAATAACAGAAAACGAATAAACAGTCCGCTGTCGAAAAGGGAGCTTGATGCCTGTATATATTTAGCCAGCTGCCTACTGCAGCAGGGAAAACAGTACAGAGCTCAGACACTCTACGTCACTTCCTACTCCCTTGCTCCCCTTCCCCCACTAGACGGGAAGCTTCTCAACCTTTGATTACAATTCACTCCCAAGATGTCCAGTACACTAATATAACAAAGAAATGCAAGAACAACTATTTTTCTGCAGCTTTTAAGAGACATGAAAAACCTTTTAGTATTTTTAAATTCAAAAGACGAACATGTTATTTCAACAAGGCCTACTTCAACATACCACTCAATTCCCAGAATAGTTCTGCTGAGTTCAAGTCAAAACAAACAGTGCATATTACAGAGAAGAGCACATTAAACTGGAACTTTAAACTTCCAGTTTAATTAAACGGTAAACTCTAAATGTTTCGTAGTGATTAAAATGCTAAAACACTTTTCGCACAGAGCAAACATTTGCAGCTGGTAGTCCTCAATCACCACATTCCTACGATACAAAATTATTTTAAGCAGGCTTTATTTTGAATGAGACCGACCAAATTCATGACCTGGGAGACACCTTGCAATAGAAATTTAAAGTAGACAAGTGCATAATTGAAGAAAAGGCTATAAAGACTGCTTACGAGAAAGCCTCAAGACTAAAATTTCCACATAAACACTGTGGGGATACAAAAAAGGCAATCAACATTAGGATGTGTAAAAATGTATAAATTAAATCGGGGCATGTTAAAATTGTACAACGTATTAGTACAAGCCTGTACAAAAAAGTAGTCACCTCAACAGTGGAGACTAAGAAGACCTATAGAGATATTCAATGTCTTCAAAGACAAACCATTCTTCAGGTTTCCAGAAAAAAGAGTGTAAAACAAACCAGAATACTTAAATGCAACCTAGAGAGAGGTGCATTTAAAATGGATAGCTATAATCATTACCTTACACATAGCGAAGCAGGAGTATCTAGGTATCAAGCCATATTGTTGATGGCAAGATTAATCAAAATTCAGATTGGTCAATTAGATCCTTTACACATTATAATAGATAAATACCTCCTGACCCTTTCAATATCCCCTAACTTCCTGATGCATGATTTAAAAAAAAGCTGCATGATAATATTAAGAATCACTTCTGGATATGGTCAGTATTACAGGTCTAAACAAGGTATTTTCACAGCACAAATTACATCAATACCAGCTGCAAACCGGGTCAGTTACACGCACAGCCCTTTTTCCACAGAACAACCAATCTTATATATTTTAGTAGTATAATCTCTACAGCAGGGGTGCCCAACCAGTCGATTACGAGCTACTGGTGGACCGTGAAGCAGCTGCTGGTAGATCTGCTTTTTGATATCTATTACAGATTTTACACAGTTTATTAAACTAAACAAGTTACATTATCAAGTGTTTAGTTTTTTTGTCCACTTTCCTCTATTTTGTCAAGGAAATTTTCCCAATGACGTGATATGCTGGTATCTTTTGAAAATCGTATATTATCATAGCAACATGAAAGCCCGCGCTATC